ACTTTGATTAACATTTTGAGAAATTGATAGACTGTTTTCCAGTATGATTGCATTCTCTCGTTTCAACCAGTAAGGTATCAGGGTTTTAATTTTTCAGCATCCTCACCAACACTTGAGATTCAATTTCTTCTTGATTATAACTGTTCACTTTGACTTAAAGTAGTATCTTGTTGTGATTTGATTTGCTATTGGATTTGAGTATTTTTCATGTTAATTGGCTACTTTTTAATTTTCTTTGGAATATTGTCAATGTAGACTCATTGCCAAATTTTCATCTGAGTTATCTTTTATTATTGATTTATAACAGGTCTTTATTTATATTTTAATTATATATTTAAATATATTCTAATTTCCTTATTGGGTATACAATTTGCAAATATTTACTCTAATTTTGGAGGTTATATTTTCATTTTCTCAGTGTAGGATTTGTGACTCAAAATTGTTTAATTTTGATGATAGCCACATTATTTCCTTTGTTACTTAAGCCCTGGGATGTCTAAGTAGTCTGTCAAACCCACAATGAAGAGTATTTACCCTTTCATTTTACAACAAAGGTTTATTTTTAGCTTCACATTTAGGACTATGGTGCATTTTGAAACAATCTTTCTGTATGTTATAATGAAGTGGCCCCATTTCATTTGTATGCCTATCAGTGCTCCCTTGTCCCAGCACCATGTCTGGAAGATACCTCTTTCCCTGACTGAATTGTCCTGGGATACTTGTCAAAATCAACTGACTGTAAGTATGCACATTTTGGTATGAAATGACTTGAATCTATGGGTATATGTGGTATTATTTCCTCGATATTATTATCATTTTGATGTGTGAACATGTGCAACTTTTCATTGACACAGGTCTTCTTTAACCTAAATAAATTTTCAATATTTTCTTAAAAAAAAAAAAAAAATAGAAAGGATAGCTGGGCATGATAGTGCACGCCTGTAATCCTAGTGGCTCAGGAGGCTGAGGCAGGAGGATCACAAGTTCAAAGCCAGCCTCAGCAAAAGCGAGGCGCTAAGCAACTCAGTGAGACCCTGTAGCAAAATAAAATACAAAATAGGGCTGGGGATGTGGCTCAGTGGTAAAGTGCCCCTGAGTTCAATCCCCAGTATCCTCCCCCCACACACCCCCCAAAATAGAAAGGGTTAAGGATGTGGCTCAGTGGTAAAGCACCCCTGGGTTCAATAACAGTTGTGGGGGCTGGTGATGGGGGCACATATTATTAGCTATATGATCTTAGGCGAGTGATTTAATCTGTGCCTAAATTTTCTCATCTAGGACTGGGGATGTGGCTCAAGTGGAAGCACACTTGCCTGGCATGCATGCGGCCCGGGTTCGATCCTCAGCACCACATACAAAAACAAAGATGCTGTGTCCGCCAATAAATATTAAAAATAAATAAATTTTCTCATCTATAAAATGGGCTGAATAACAGTATTGGCATCATGGGCGATTTTAGAGTTGTTTATTAATATAACTAACATGCTTAGAACACTGCCTGACATGCAGGAGGCATTATATCAATGTAAATCTTTATTATTTGTATTAGACTGAGAAGCTAGTGCTTATATTTCATAAAAAAGGAAATTCATATATACATTTTTTGTTTAGTTATACTATCAAACTGATGAGTTTATAGAAATGGGTAAGAGAAAAGATCTCTTTTCTATTTTAATAAATATCTGTTATCTTTGCCTGCCTAGTCTCAATTTTCCCCTCTTCTGGAAACAGCACCCTAATTTTCCTTATAGGGTACTCCCTGTTTTGGGTGTACCAGCTGCCAGCACTGCCTCCTTTCCATGAATCAGGCTGACCACAGCAACTGGTTGAAGGATGGGTATATGACCCAAATCAGTTCAATGCGATTTAATTCCAAGGCTTTTGTTGTGTTCAATGAAGAGTCACTCTCTTTTCACTTGACTTGAAACTGAGAGGATATAAAGTCAGTGGCCACTCTTGCCAACACCTTGGAAGAACCTGTCTGAATGTAGCCAATGCTGGATCCAGTTAGGCCTGAAGTCAGGTCTATCCTTGGGCTGTTCAGTTATGAAGGCCAATAAATTCCTTTTTTATTGCAATCTGGCCAGTTTGCGTTGGGATTCTGTCATCTGCATGTGAAAGAATTAATAATATACTGACTTAAAGATAACAATCATCCCCTCCAAGTATACAACTTCTCACTTGTTCTCATTTTAAAAAATTAGCCCATATTACAGCCAACCAAAATCTATTTGGATCCAAGGCCCTTTCAAAGAACTGGTCAAAGACATGGTGAAACCGAAAGGGCTTTGGTATTTTGAAATGCCTGCCTTTTAGGGCTTAAGCTATCCCATTTAAAGTATACTTTGAAGACAAATGATACTTACAGATATTGTACCCTCCCCTAAAATAAGACAAATAATAATCCTGACTTAATCAGATCTAAATGATGGGTGATTACTAAATCTTTCGTCCTCTAGCCCTGCCACTGGCCACAAGCTCCAGACCTAACCTCTGAATTTTACACATCAAACACTTAACTGCTCTTTCCTTTCTGCCAGTGTCAGCACTGATTCTTCATAGTATCTAAACTTAAAAGCTCAGAATTAAACTTTTTGGCTTTCATCATCATGCTGAATTTCAACATGGATTATTTCATTTAATTTCCTATTTTATAGAGCTAGTTGGGGTGTGGTGACCGATGCCTATAAACCCAGCTACTCAAGAGACCAATGTAGGAAAAACCAGGATAGCCTGGGCAACTTAAATCCTGTTTCAAATTTTTTAAAAATATATAAAAAGAGCTGGGGATATGGTTCAGTGGTATAGCACCTCTGGGTTCAACCCCCAGGAAGGAAGGAAGGAAGGAAGGAGAGACAGGAAAAGAAGGAAATCACATGGCTAGTAAGTGGCAAGCCAGAGAAAGACCCTTCCCGAGATTTCAGAACCTATGCTTTTAAGCACCACACAACAATGCCTCATCTTTGGATCCTTTAATCTGCCTATCCTATAAAATAACAAATTTAATGCTATCTTTTCTTCCATACTTATTCAACATTAACTATGCACCTGCTCTAGGCCAGACACCAATGAACTTAGGCAGGAATAAAACAATGTCGTTGAAGAAGCTCACAGTGGAGGGAAAAATCAAAAAGAAACAAATAATTATAACATAAGATGAGAAATACTCTTAATAAGAATATGTCTAAAGGGTTAAGATTGCAGAAGAGGGGCTGGGATTGTGGCTCAGCAGTAGAGTGCTCCCTAGCACGGGCAGGGACCCGGGTTCGATCCTCAGCACCACATAAAAATAAAAGGCATTGTGTTGTGTCCATCTTCACCTAAAAAATAAATATTAAAAAAAAAAAAAAAGATTGCAGAAGAAGAGTGTCTGGTATCCACAAGAAAGCAGGATTCAATTCAGTTCAACAAAAATTACATGCAAAGATAACAAACCCAAGTTTTTTCCATCTCAGGTATGAACTATAACCATCTTTATCACCATTCACCGACTGGGAAACTTAGGCAGATTACTTCTTTCAATTTCAAGTTTCCTCGTATGTAAATGGGGGAAATAATACCATCTACACCATAGAATTACTGTGAAGACTAAATGAGAAAAGGCACATAAAAGGCTTACCATAGTCCTTGATACATACTAAGTATTTTTAGGAACTTCAATGCTATTCCTAAAACACTGGTTCATTTTACCATTCTCCATTCCAAAATGTCTATGGTGTAACATCAAAACATCAAAACTCTATATCTTAAAATTCTAGGGCTGGGGCTGTAGCTCAGCAGCAGAGCACTTGCCTAGCATGCATGAGGCACTGGGTTCAATCCTCAGCATCACATAAAAATCAACAAATAAAATAAAGGCATTGCGGCTGAGATTGTGGCTCGGCGGTAGAGCGCTTGCCTAGCACCGGCAAGAACCAGTTCGATCCTCAGCACCACATAAAAATAAAGGCATTGTGTTGTGTCCATCTACACCTAAAAAATAAATATAAGAAAAAAATTTTAAAAAAATAAAATTCTAGGAGAGGAAGGGAATTCTGGAGTGCTGGCTACATGCTGTACACGGTCATAAAAATTCACTGAGCTCTATCTACACTTATAATTTGTATGCTGTATGTTTATTTTACTTTAGTTAAAAAAAAAAAATCTTTACCTTTTTAATTATCAAACTCTGGACCCAACCTTACTTACTTTCTTACTTACTTTCCCCTCTTACTTTCCCATTTTGGACATTTCACATCCTTGAACATTTCTTGATTTTGTTTAAATTCTGCTACCTGGAACTCTCTTTTTCTCTAATCTTTGGCAAACCCTACGTCCTTCAAGAGTCAACGCAAATCCTCCATCCTTAGGAAATTGGAAAAGGAGGGGCAGTTTATTCAAGGCTAGAACACTAAGTAAAGAAATGGGAAGACACAGGATGAACACTTTGCCTGTGGCTCCTTCAGCCCAATTTCTGAGTCTCCTTGTAGCCACTAGTATAAAACAAAGTTTGATGAATAACTTACAGAAATAAGAAGAAACAGTAGGAAAAACTGCACTAAGGTCCTTGACTGGTCAGAGACGACTAAGGACATCTACAGACGCTCTTCCCACTAAGAGACTGGTCCCCTCATTCGGGTCCCCCGTCCCCTCCGCTACACTGGGTCACTACTAGTGATCCTGCTCCAAACTCGGACGCTTTTCACAAATTATGCTCCACACAGAATCCTCTTCTCTTATCCCAACCCTTCTACGGATCACGTCCTTGGGCTCAGAACAGCGAGTAGGGCACGCCCCCTCAGATACCCACCTCTAGGGTGGTCCAGCCTCTTGAGCCCAAACCTTATACCACCTCCTGCACATCCCCTCCGCTCCTCAGGAGCGCCCTCACATCTCCAAAGACCCCCTGAGCAGGTCAATTTCCTGAGAACCGTGCGGCCACTTCCCACCCGCCTCCCATTCACAGAGGCCGTGATAAGCTCGGGCCGGGTCTGGCCGCCCATTCGAGCCGGCGGTCTCACCTCTCTTCCAAGAGCTCAGTGGGGATACCACCTCCACCCGCTCGGAAATGAACTCGGCCAGACTGGAGCGGAACAAGGCCGCCCGCACAGTCACGGCCACCACCAGCACCAGGGCCAAGGGAGCCGCCATGATATCTGGGGCGGGCGCGCAGGCGGGAAGGAAAAGGAGGGGCGGAAGAGCCTGGCGATCTGCGCACCACCGTCTGTAGTTCCGCGATTGGGAGCGCGCCGCTGCTTCTGCGGGAGCGTCCAGACCTAGGAACTACGACTCCCAGGAAGCCCTGCGGTGGGAAGGGCCGGGCGACGGACAGCGGGGCGTATCAAATTTGGAGCAAGTGTTTGACCGACTCCCTACGATCACAGGTGAATTGTAAAACTTCGCAGGCCAAAGGGAAAGTTATCGTCCTGGGATTGTGAACAAGTTTTGAAGAGATGTTAATTTTACCCTTGTGTGTATGTTTTCATGTTAAAACATCTACTTTTTTTGTTTTACAAGAATGTTAAAATTTATTTTACTTATTCTGCAATTGCTTATTGAACGCCAGCTATCAGCCAGTCGCTGTATGAGTAGTAGCATTGATAGTAGCGGACAACATTCTGCACGACCTTGCTTCACCTTTCTGTGCCTCAGAACCCTCATCTGAAAACTCTGCTGGTTGTAGGCTCACTAGAGACGGCTGAAGAATGTTTAGAAAATTTGCCAGTTGCTTTTTAAAACACAGCCATTATTGAAAATGAAATGGTATAAACTTAGTAAACTAAATCACATTGAAAACAAGGGAATAAATAGTCTTAACTCGTTACTTCCGAATAGTTTTTACTACATACTTTTTCATCCGCGTTCTTTTTCAAGATTTTTTTATTTTAGTTATAGATGGACACAAAACTTTATTTTATTGATTTATTTTTATATGGTGCTGGGTATCAAATCCACTGCCTCACACGTGCAAGACAAGAGCTCTACCACTGAGCCAAAACCTCCAACCTCGTTGATGTTCTTGAGGTTACTTAACACTACTGTATGGGTGCTATAGTGAAGTGCTACTACTCTTCTCAAATCAGGTGAGTTACTTCAGGTTGTTAGTTTGAAATCCCTCCAGGTGGGAGTGTTTACACCAAGGAAATCAGCAAATACTACAAATCAGGGATTTGAGATTTGAAGAGCACATTGATAAGCATTAACAGCTTACCACTTCATTAATTAATGTATGAAAAGTGCTATGATAAGTGCTTAAATATTAACTTTATACCTAATATTAAATAAGTATGTGAGGAAATTTCAGATCTGTGAAGAAAATGAAACTGCATCATTGGGTAATTGTGGTTGAATATTTCAAAATAACTAGTAGAATTTTGAATGTTTCTAACATAAAGAAATAATAAATGTCTGAGGTAATGGATTTGCCATTTGCCATGATTTGATCATAACATTGGGTACATGTATTGAGTTGTCATTCTAATTCATAAATATGTAAATTACTATGTGTCAAATAAAAACAAAAATATATTTTAAAAAAGAAACAAAGCATGATGGGGAATAACTATGGTCAGGTATACATTTTAAAATATCTTTGTTTCTCCAAACCTTGGGATGTTGGAGATTATTATAGTGACAAAATTTGCACTCCTGCCTTTATGGAGCTTGGGGAGTAGTTGAAAGATATGAGAATCTTAAGAATAACAAATAAGGGGCTGGAGTTGTGGCTCGGTTATAGAGCGCTCATCTAGCGCGTGCCAGACTCTGGGTTCGATCCTCAGCACCATATAAAAATAAAATAAAGGTATTGTGTCCAACTACAACTAAAATAAAATATTAAAAAAAGAATAAGAAATAAAAGTAAAATTACAAGCCATGAATGAAGAGAGAGAAAGTAGGGAAGCAGGATACTAGGAGAAGGAAAATATTGGCCTTTCTGAACCACTGAGAGGAACAGGCCCCCTTTGGGGGAAGGGATTATGAAGGAATATATATGTATATAACTACTATTTGAGCCCTTGCTCAAAAGTGCCAAGCATACCACAGATTTTTCCTTTCCTTTTCTTTTCCCCCCCGTCCCGCCGGAATTGAACCCAGCAGCACTCAAACAATGAACCATATCCCTTAACCATTTCATTTTTTATTTTGAGATAAAGACTCATTAAGTTGCTTAAGTCCTGGCTAATTTGCTGAGATTGGTCTCAAACTTGCAATCCTCCTGCCTCAGCCTCCCTAGATGGGCTGATTACAGGTGTAATTACAGGTGTGCGCCACCATACCAGCTATACTGTACTCTTAATGCACATAAATTTATTTAATCTGTACACATTCCTTCCTAAAGATGTAAATGTTACTTAAAAGGGGAAGATATATGTATTACATCATGAGAAGCAGAAGTGATTAAAACACCATCCTCAAAGGGAAGATAGAACAAGATTATGCAATGTAAAATGCTTAGCACATACCCAGGGCTCCATATACATTAGATCATCCTAACAGATGGCTTAAAAATTCTTGTAGTATTATCTCTGTTTGGGAAAAACAGTGATTGGCCATTGCAGGTGAGACCCAAACCACCAGTTCCCAGTCTTAAGTGTACACAGAATGTCCATCAAGCCAGCAGTTCCCAAATATGAGTGTGTTGTATCTCAATATTTTAAAAATGAGACCTTTTAAAAATGAGACCTAAATGTAAGAGTTAAATTATAAAACTCATACAAGAAAACAAGTAAATCTTGGGGCTGGGGTTGTGGTTCAGTGGGAGAATTCTTGCCTAGCATGTGTGAGGCCCTGGGTTCGATCCTCAGCACCACATAAAAATGAATAAATAAAATAAAGGTATTGTGTTCAACTACAACTAAAAAATAAATATTGAAAAAAAAACAAGTAAATCTTAATAACTCTGAAATAGGCAATGGTTTCTTAGATACAACACTAAATGTACAGGCAAAAAATGAAGAAATAAATAAATTGGAACTTCATCAAAATTGAAAACTTGGGCTCCAAAGGACAACACCAAAAAATAAGAGTGCACACAGAATGGGAGACAATATCTGCAAATTATATATTAGGACTTATTCAAATATATAAAGAACTCTGACAACTCAGTTGTAAAAAGACAAATACCCAAATGAGCAAAGGATTTGAATAGACCCATCAGCAAACAAGATAAACAAATGACCCATAAACATAGAGAAGAAGGACTGGGGCTGTAGCTCAGTGGTAGAGTGCTTGCCAACACATGTGAGGCCCTGGGTTCAATCCTCAGCACCACATAAAAATAAATGAATAAAATAAAGGTATGTCCATCTACAACTAAAAATTAAAAACACATGAAAAGATGTTCAACGTCATTGAAAAGTGGCAAAATGCAAATCAAAACCACAAAATATCACTTCATACTCTCTATGATAGGTATAATAAATAATAATATGATAACAAGGAAGTGGAGAAATTGGAATCCTCTTACACTGCATGTAGGACATAAAGTACTATAATTCCTTTGGAAATGGTTTCGAAGTCCCTTAAAATGTTAAACATAGGGGCTGGGGCTGTAGCTCAGTGGCAAAGCACTTGGTGGCAAAGCACTTGCCTAGCATGTGTGAGACACTGAGTTCGATCCTAAGCACCATATAAAAAATAAAATAAAGGCATTCATTCTGTCCATCTACAACTACAAAAAGTTCTATAAAAATTGTTAAACATAGAGCTGGGGATGTGGTTCAATGATACAGCACTCACCTAACATACATGAAGCCTTTGGTTCAATCCCCGGCATTGCCACCTCCTCCCTCCCAAAAAAAAAAAAAAAAAAAAAACTTAAACAGAAGTACTGATACATGCTACAACATGCATGAAATTTGAAAACATGATGCTAAGTGAAATAAGCCACACACCACTAATTATATGATTTCATTTATGTAAAATGTACAGAATAGACAGATCTATAGAAGAGAAAATAGATTAGTGATTGCCTAAGGCTGGAGGCGGTTAGGGGAATAGAAAATGGGAAATGACTGCTACTGGTTATAGAGGGGTTATTTGGTTTTTTTAGGTACTGAGGCTTGAACCCAGAAGCACTTAACCACTGAGCCACATCCCCAGTCCTTTTATTTTTATTTTCAGACAGGTCTCGCTAAGTTACTTAGGGCCTCTAAATTGCTGAAGCTGGCTTTGAACTTGCAGTCCTCCTGTTTTAGCCTCCTGAGCCACTGGGATTACAGGAATAGGTCACCATGCCTGGCCCAGAGTTTCTTTTTGAACTGCTGAATGTGTTTTAAAATTAGATCTGGATGGTTGAATTTTTCAGTCAATATACTCAAAAACATTGAATTATACACCTTAAATTCATTAATTTTATGATGTGTATTATATCATCAATATCATTTTTTTAAAATAGCATCAGAATCAGTTGGCAGATGTATTTTTGTTGTTGTCATTTTTATTTTGAGAAGGGGTCTTATTATGTTAACCACAGAACTCCTGGATTCCAGTGATCTTCCAGCCCAGCCTCCCAAGTAGCTGAGTCTATAGGAAAGTGCCACTGTGCTTAGCTGGAAATGGGTTTGTTGTTCCTTGTTTCTATTTAATTTCCCCTTTTCCTTCCCTCTGTTTTTTGTTTGTTTGTTTGTTTTTTAATATATTTTTAGTTGTTGATGGACCTTTATTTTATTCATTTATTTATATGTGGTGCTGAGAATCGAACCCAGTGCCTCACATATGTGAGGCAAGTGCTCTACCACTGAGCCACAACCCCAGCCCCTGTTTGTTTGTTTGTTTGTTTGTTTAGATAATGTTTCCCTAAACTGCCAAGGAACTTGGAATCCTCTTGCCTTAGACTCTCTAGTACCTGGGATTACAAGTGTGTGCTACCATCTCTAGCTCAGGAGATGTATTTTTTAAATGTAAACTTCCTTTTTCTGTCCTAGAGACTATGACTATTCCCAGAAAACTTCTTTCTTTATCTTTCCAGGTAATTCTTTTTTAAAAAAAAATTTTCTAATTAGTTATACATGACAGTGAATGCATTTTGACATATCATACATAAATGGACTATAACTTCTCATTCTTCTGGTTGTACGTGATGTAGAATTACACTAATCATGTAATCATATATGCACAAAGGTTAATAATGTTTAATTCATTCTCTATTCTTCCCTCTCTGTGT